CTGATTAAATTGTGTTCATTGTCTGAAAAATACCCCATGACAAAATCTAGAAACCTTGCCACTACAAACACTGAAACACAAAAATGTGCTACACTTCAACTTGGAAACAGGTCACCATGTTAGTGTGAGATGTTATTTGTGTAAAGACACACTTAGTTATTTAAGTTATACTAGAGCAGCTGTGGCTTAGTGGCTAGGGGAGTTGTCCAGTAACCAGTGAGTTTTTGGTTTGAAACCCCACTCTGTCCGTCTCAGCCATTGTGTCCTTGGGCAAGATACTTCACCTGGCTACTGGTGGTGGTCAGAGGGCCTAGTGGAACCAATGTATGGCAGCCTCGCCTTTGTCTGTCTGTGGCTACAATGTAGCTCACACCCATCGCTGTGTTTTGTGTGTATGAATGGGTGAATGTAGTGTAAAGCTCTTTGGAGCTGTTGGAAGAGCTATACATGTGTAGGCCCTTTGCCATTTACCCCTAGCACTTAAAAAAATAAAAAATATATAAAAATAATAAAAACAGAATTGCACAAACTCATTCTTTTCTTATTAAACAAAATGTATTTATTGTTTACACCATTGTTCTCCATAATATCTTTGGGTAAATTGTGTAGCATGTTGTCAATGTGTACCTTAAAGGAACTGTAGTTCTGGGATACAGAGTTACAGGCCATTGTCAGCCTGTTGGCTTCCTTCACTCCATTATTCTTCAATTTTATCTAATTAACCAACAACCTAGTGTCTTGTTTGTAGTGAATATACTTGCGAGTGTGCATCTTACAGTTCTATTTAACTGTCAGTAGGAGTACATTGTATTTGTGAGAAACTTGGCCCAATTGGCACAAATGTGCTTCATGAAAAAAACCCTTGACAAAGGAAGTACATTGATAAAACAGCCTTTCACCATAGCTTTACAGTAAAGAATTTCAGTGTGTGCAAATTGGAAGACCATGGGCCTTTGGTCAATTAACCTTGTCCTTCTCCTATTCATATATTTTGCTCAAACCTACCACTCAGCCTAACAATCAGATCCCTGCTGCAAGTGAGCCAACCAGTTAAAACCTTGCTGCGCTGCTAGTCTCTTCAGCACCACCCAGTTATTAGCTATAATGTTTTTTTTTTCCTTCTATTAATTCATTCAAAGATTTCTCATTCTGGAGCTAAATTAAAGTAAATGAAAAAGAGATGTTTCTATTGTGTTTTCTTTCTTTTTTGCTAATGCATTTGATTGGCCTCAAGTAGAAGAAAAAAGAAAATGAGAAACTGGAACAAAATATCAAATGTACGTGTTTATACACTTGAGTGTAGGAGTCTAGAAGAAGAGTCAAAGACTTGGAGAAAGAGTTGAAATGTTCAGTAAACCTATTCTTAATCACAAATTGATCAAACTCCACGAGGAACCTTTTACAGAGTTATTACTTTTCCTTCAGAAGTGAATGAAATTATGCCAGATGCAAGCAGTCAGGCTGTTTTTTTTTTTGTTTTTTTTTTTTGTTATTGGAATCTGCCCCATGAATTTCTGTTTGATACTTCAACTTGACATTGCTGTTTGGCACCAACACAACAATACACACAGATTAAACACAAGTAATTGAATGCCTTGACCCTAAGAAACAATTGTTGAGCTGTTTGATCAGCTATCCTCCACCTTTTATACGCTCTGGGCACATATGAAGTAAGGTCAGACTGTTCTCCTTAGTAGGTCAAAACTAGGTTAATTGAACCCATTCTTGCTCTGATTTGATATATTTACACACAGATTGGTGGCAGGCCTGTCACTTGATTACAGCATGTTTTTGGTGACAGATATTTATTTGTCGTGTTTTTTTATCACCTTTGCCCTGTTTGCACCTGGTTCTGGTAACCTACACTGCGCACATACAGACAAGCAAAGTGCAGACAGGTTTCTCTTCAGCACCAGGTTTGTGTTTGTTTTCTCTCTCTTCTTTACAGTGCCTTGCTCTAAGTAGATTTCGCAGAATGAGTTGAAAATCTGATGCATCACTGTGTGCATGGAACAGATTTTTTTATGGAAACAATTAATTAGATGAAATATGTCATTATAACCTAAGACATAATTAAACCTCAGATTAATAATTCAATATTATAAAGGTCATCATTTGTATTAGGATACAGTCATAACTACAGTCTGTTTGTGTTTGGAACAAGGTTTTCTTGTTTGTTTCCTCTTTTCTCCTCAGATGCCAGAAAGCGTGTACTTGTTTTTGATTAGCTGGGTGCGATGGGCTTTTGGTGCCTTGGTACACTGCAGTAATTAGGCTGTCAGTCAAATCCAGATGGCTGGTGGCTTCAATGAGAAGTTTTCAGATGAGACTTTAGTTTTGCTTTTGTTGGTCCACAAACGATTATGCTACACAAGCATAACATCCTAATGTGTATACAGGTGCTGGTCATAAAATTAGAATATCATGAAAAAGTAGATTTATTTCAGTAATTCCATTTAAAAAGTGAAACTTGTATATTATATTCATACATTACATACAAACTCATATATTTCAAATGTTTATTTCGTTTAATTTTGATGATTACAAATGACAACAAATGAAAATCTCAAATTCAGCATATCAGAAAATTAGAATCTTGTGAAAAGGTTCAAAATGGATGGCACCTGGTACCACACTCTAATCAGCTAATTAACTCAAACCACCTGCAAAGACCTTTAAATGGTCTTTCAGTCTAGTTCTATAGGCTACACAATCATGGGGAAGACTGCTGACTTGACAGTTGTCCAAAAGACGACCATCGACACCTTGCACAAGGAGGGCAAGACACAAAAGGTCATCGCTAAAGAGGCTGGCTGTTCACAGAGCTCTGTGTCCAAGCACATTAATAGAGAGGCGAAGGGAAGGAAAAGATGTGGTCGAAAAAAATGTACAAGCAAGAGAGATAACCGCACCCTGGAGAGGATTGTGAAACAAAACCCATTCAAAAATGTGGGGGAGATTCACAAAGAGTGGACTGCAGCTGGAGTGAGTGCTTCAAGAACCACCACACACAGACGTATGAAAGACATGGGTTTCTGCTGTCGCATTCCTTGTGTCAAGCCACTCTTGAACCACAGACAGCGTCAGAAGCGTCTTGCCTGGGCTACAGAGAAACAGGACTGACTGCTGGTGAGTGAACCAAAGTCATGTTCTCTGATGAAAGTAAATTTTGCATTTCCTTTGGAAATCAARGTCCCAGAGTCTGGAGGAAAAGAAGAGAGGCACTTCATCCACGTTGCTTGAAGTCCAGTGTAAAGTTTCCACAGTCAGTGATGGTTTGGGGTGCCATGTCATCTGCTGGTGTTGGTCCATTGTGTTTTCTGAGGTCCAGGGTCAACGCAGCCACATACCAGGAAGTTTTAGAGCACTTCATGCTTCCTGCTGCTGACCAACTTTTTGGAGATGCAGATTTCATTTTCCAACAGGACTTGGCACCTGCACACAGTGCCAAAGCTACCAGTACCTGGTTGAAGGACCATGGTATCCCTGTTCTTAATTGGCCAGCAAACTCTCCTGACCTTAACCCCATAGAAAATCTATGGGGTATTGTGAAGAAGAAGATGCAATACACCAGACCCAACAATTCAGAAGAGCTAAAAGCCACTATTAGAGCAACCTGGGCTATCATAACACCTGAGCAGTGCCACAGACTGATCGACTCCATGCCACGCCGCATTGCTGCAGTAATACAGGCCAAAGGAGCCCCAACTAAATACTGAGTGCTGTACATGCTCATACTTTTCATGTTCATACTTTTCAGTTGGCCAACATTTCTATAAATCCTTTGTTTTTATTGGTCTTCAGTAATATTCTAATTTTCTGATATGCTGAATTTGAGATTTTCATTTGTTGTCATTTGTAATCATAAAATTAAACGAAATAAACATTTGAAATATATGAGTTTGTATGTAATGTATGAATATAATATACAAGTTTCACTTTTTAAATGGAATTACTGAAATAAATCTACTTTTTCATGATATTCTAATTTTATGACCAGCACCTGTACATTGATGTGTTTTGTCCTGATTTGGTGCAAAGAGATGAGGGCCTTTTAAAAAAGAATACCTAAAAATAAAACAGAAGTCCATGCACCATTGAAACATATATGATAGAAAATAAAAACAGCAACAAGGAATTCATCAGCTATCACACAGAGAATGTTTAATATTAAGTTGGCAACTGTTGGAGCTGACAAAAAGTAAAAAGGAAATCATGAATATGAGTACTGGGGCAAAGATTACCAAAAAAGATTATTTTTCTTTTTAAATTTTAGAAAATTATAACTTTATCCAAGGTGCTATGAAACTGCTTTGCTTGCAAGCTGATTGACAGTCACTATTAAAAAAAACCACCATTTATAATTTCCCTCCAAACTAAGAATCCTTAATAGCTTCCTGAGAATTTTCCATTCTTGAAGTCCACATCAAAAAGACACATTATTTTAAGTCATTTTCATTTCTTTTTAACTAGCATGACAAAAAAATACATAAAAATACAAATTTCTCATTTGGCATTAATGGCTCCAGTTGTGTCCCTGTTTAAAAGAACATTTGCTTAACAGGTTTGAAGTGAAGATCAAAATAAACTTGATTCTTGGGGAAAATGCTCACATGTTCTAATCACTGCAAAATCTGACATACGGTATTTGTTGAGAAAACATGTTGGAGAAAGAAACAAGTATCATATATGCAAATATAAAACGTTTTACAGCGTGGGGTGGAGTGATCACAATTTGGGCTTCAGCAAACCTTAAAGGTTGCACAAACTGTACCAAATGCACAAAATGTAAAATCCTACACAGCAGCTGGTTTTATTAAACTTTAAATTTTTATTCTGTTTAAAATGGATAATAAAAACAGGTCTAACTGTATTTTTAATTACCCATTTTTTTCAGACAAAACTGATTAATTTAATCAGGTTTGCTCTAGAAATGTTCTCTCTGCATTTTTGATTGGATATACGTTACAACATAACGCGCACCTCTGTCTTTTTCTCAGATTGTGTTCGAAGGAATTCGTGGCCCAGGTTTTGAAGGGGACATCGCCATCGATGACGTATCTATCACCATAGGAAAATGCAAACAAGAAAACACTGTAGCCAACGCAGGTAAGACAGGTAAGATGTGAGTGATGTGGCACACACGCACACACGCACATATAAAGTGTGTGTATGTGGGTGTGTGCACACAGGTGTGTGTGTGTGTGTGTGAATGTGTGTAGACCTCCTTTTAACCTCCCAGTAAAGAGCTGAACTAAAATAGGTTTAGCCTAATTTTTTCAGCGGTAAATAAATTAAAGAGCAGCAGAGCATGGATCAGTATGGTGTACATTTAAAATACAAACATTTTCAGTGCTGAGAAGGGGTTTGAGAGAAAATATTGTCATTAAGGAGACAAAGCACAAAGACACACAAGCAAGTAGAATGGCAGCAGGCTGGGTTATTTGTGGTCCCTCCTCACTTCTATTGTCTCATTATCGTCTCTTTTTCTGCGGTGTTTTCATCCTCTAACTTTACACTCAACACTTCTGCTCCCTCCCAAGCATCAAGCTTCATTATATCCAATCTCTTATTCTATCCTCTCTGCTCAGTCTGCCCTTTTTAGGCTTACCTCTTTGAATTATTATTATTTTTTATAAAACTTTGTCCTGTGTCTTTTGGAGTAAAAGAAACATCAAAGATCCATATTTTGAAAAACAAATATGAATAAAAAACTGTGTCAGAGGAAAGAGTCACAGAAAGAAAAACAAAGACGAGTGTGTTGTGGAAAAAGAAAAGTTAARCAAAATGCAGAAATACGTGATCAAAAAAGTTCTTCACTGCAATGGTCTCTGAGTAATTTATTGCAATAAAATGAGAGTCAACATGCATACAGCAATACAAGTTGAATCTCGAGACACAGCCCCAGTGAAGCATCTTTATACCCTTAACAGAAACCAGTTCCAAAAACTGGTTATTTATGACATGCGAGGAGTGGTTCTTTGTCTGATCAGCAAAAATTCCTAGAGAAGTTGAAATTTGTTCTGTGGCCTTTAGACAAAGGGGAAAGCTGTCTAAAATGTGGTAAAATGTGGTGAAACACCTTAGAATGTGGATGCACTTGCAATTTCATTGTCTCTTATCTGTTCATATTCCAATAGTAAAACACAAAAAGTCCTGCGATCCAGTTGTGCAGAAATTAGGGCGTGTGTGTGAGAGGTTTAACTGACTATGTAAACTTATATCAGTCAACATGATTCAGCATTTAATATATTTGTAAGTAAAACAACAAAAGAAACATAAGTAAAATGCATTCAAAACTTGAATTCAAGGGTGACAATTTCATTTTCCTTCACAAGTGTAACTAAACACAATTTAGAGTCAGAATTAAAAAGAACACAGAGAAGAGTCTAAAGTACAAAATCTTTATATCTAACAATGCAAACGGAAGATGTTTGGAAACGAATGACAAGAATACAAAAAAACTCAGTAGAGAAACTCCACTTGTGCAGCTGTGCAAAAAGGCACTTCAGTTTGAAGGTAACTAACAAAAAAAGTCAATCTTTTAGAGCAGTGGTTCCCAAACTTTTTATCTTCTGACCCACAAAATATCCATGCAAAAACTTGTGACCCCAAATA